AGACGAGTGGCTGGTTGGTAGTTTGGTGTATAGTTTGACATCGCATATTTTCTTTAGTTCGGTTTGACAGTTTGACAGTTTTTTCGCATTGGGGGTGGCCACTGAGGCCGACGGTTCAGAAGGTCTATGACAACTTGGACCGGTCCAGGGCCATGCATGCCTTTTTGGATATGATTCCTCTGGCCTCAATGGAGGCCATGAGAGCAGGCTTTGCATCCATTGGCTGCGATGCTTGTCACAAGGCATGTATCTTTGGAAGTTTGATGGATAGCAGATCCTTGTGGCTCACTGCGAACACGGATACTGCCTCTTGGTTGGTGCTTTAAGATTGTCCCGCAAATTTTTGAAGGGGCCTTAAAATTGGGAAGGTGGGCCATTGAATTAGTTTTCCCAAATTTCCCATTGAATTTGTTTTCAAAATCAATGGTCCATTTTCTCAATTTTCAGGGATGTTTGGGTGTTTTTTGTGATTTGTTGATAGGGTGCTTCAGCACCAGGTCTATGTGGGTGCTATGTTGGATCTCCAGAGGGATGGGCCCACGGTCGTTGATGTTCCAGCCGGCGCTGGGCCGGGCATGGTCAACGACGCCTACTTCCGCTACGTGACGGACATGGGAAAACCTGGGCCGGACAGAGGCGCCGGTGGAAAGTATCTGGTGTTGCCGCCTGGGCACCAAGGTGAGGTGCCTGGTGGATATCATGTGACCCAGAGTCCCAGCTACACCAATTGGGCGATCCTTAGAGGATTTCTGCAGAACGGAAGCCCAGATGCTGCGGCCAAGATGTGGAAGGAAGGTCTCAAAATCTATCCCTTGTCGACAGTGGGTGCTCCACCCAAGATGGAGTTCTTTGACATGTCGGGCAAAGAAATGAACACGATTCTTGAACGTGGTTTCAGTATGATTCAGTACACCTTCGTGTTTCCATCTATACTAGAACATATTGCAGATATTTGCAGATCGTCAAATACAGTATGTTGGATTATCTCCAATATTCATGTGTATATGTATTATGTATGTATGTTTCAATAGCATATAACTGCATTGGGGAGTGAATTAGTTAAATCACCATGGATTTCCACAGATTATAAGTTGTAATTCCAGCCTTTTTTGTTTACCTTCCCAACAGGTCAGGATCAAACCTATTTTAAGCAGCTCATTTGTTCCATACTTCCTGATGCATTGTTCGAAACAAGAAAAAAACTAAGAGATGTCGCATTTTTCCCCGAACCCAGTAAATTCTCATTTTCTTGAGGAGGCGAGGTAAAACGTCACACATGCGAATTAACGACACGGTGACGAGGTGCGAATTATTCTAAATTGGCCAGATCCATATGCAATTGTCAAAAAAATGATGTATGTGGGTTTTGGTCATCCATCACATATTGGGAATTTTTGTACTGGGTATATAACACCCTATTTTGATATATGTTGACCATGGCAAATATGGACATCAGGGCGAAAAACGTGATTCCATCCTACACCTGAAATCGTTCAGCCAAACACATGATTGGTTGTTTCAGGCTAGCAATTTTCATGAAGTAATAGTATTGCTATTACCATTACCATTAATTACTATATATTACTATGATTTACTATGACTGTAATGTCCACGGGGAAAATGTTATGGTATGTTATGGTTACCCAGTTGATCTACGGTTTTTCTCCCAGAATGTCACAGGGGGGGGTCCTAAAACAGGGGTACCCCTAAATCATCTATTTTAAGAGGATTTTCAATTACAAACCATCCAGCTAAATAGGGGTACCTCCATGATTCTGGAACCTCCCACATGTATAAAATATGAGATCATATTAAATATGTATTTATACTATATTTCCATATTCATTTCCACCATTTTGGTCATTTTTTAAATCCATGTTCCACATGTCAATCCCAAATCCTCCATGGTACTGCTATATTTACATATTTTTGTGATTTTCTTCGGGCAAGTGGCAAGGTAAATCTCCCATCACGGAGCATATGGGTATATATATATTATTATATTATATATACGTATATATATATAAATATAGAATATTGATCATTATTCACCATCATTATTAACCATTGTAAATCCATCCAGGGTAAAGCTCTCTTCCTGTGCAGGATTCATTCCAACGATTTCGGTTTCTTCCTCGAGGTGAACGCAGTGATTCAACGTGAACCCGTTGATCTCCTGGATCCAGAGCTTCGGGGCAATTTGTCGGCCATTGGAATCAGGAGATCACAGGGATGGCCTTGCGAAGACATTGAAGGGTAGGTAGATGAAAAAGGGTGGTTTAACGACTTTTAACCAATCAAAAGGGTTCGTTTCACCAATTCTATTCATGGATACTCATCAATGAATGATGTGATTTTAGCGCACAGAAATGCCGATAGCAATCAAAAAAGTGAGACTATTAGGCAGCAACGGATATAGTGTTTTCCGGCAAAATGGACCAAGGGAAAGGGCGATATCAACGGGGATCTTCCACTGTCAGTGCCATATTTTTTTAGTATCAGTATATTCGCATAGTGACATAGTGGGAACACACCATTTTTCACAGAGAAACCGGGAAATCGATTTGATGGTGGACTCCCCACTTCCAAACTAGTTGCCCCTTGGCCCTATAGCGCCGTCCAGCCAGATTTGCTGATTTCTGCGCCAGGAAAGGACAGGCCTTCCAGCCAGATGCGCGAATGAAGGCTCTTCTTGAAGAAGGGGTGGCTATTGGGAACGCCACGGCCCGCGCACTTTGCTTTGCACCACGTGATGAATCTGTCAAGTTCTACGGTACCTTTGGCTGACGCAAAGTGGCACTTGCTATTCTCTAAGTGTGAACTCTTCTTTCATGTTTCATGTATCCTTTTTTCATCAACCATTTGGCTGGTTGGTGTAGTGTCTAACATCCTGCACCCTACATCAATGTTTACCTCAGGTCAAATTTGTTTATGTATTGAGTTTCCCGAGCTTTGCAGATGCTTGCGCACAAACTCGTAGGTAAAGAGAGTGAGTGGACGACCCCCTTTGTCGGTGGCGATCACGAATGGCTGATTGACAAGGGCGCGGGTGGCAGGAACATTGATGCAAGGACTAGATTCTTCTACTTGGCCACAGCAAATACTCCTGCCATGATCATGAAGATGGTGGGTGTTGGTTCCCAGTATATCCTTGCATTTCGTGATGAGAAACATGAATATCTTGATGGAAGCAAATGCTATTCCTTGACCTTGCCTGCCAACGTGCCGGTCAAGGATTTCTGGTCCTTGGTTCTTTATGATGCCCAGCACCGTTCCATGCTGCAAACACCACAGATAGCACCTGGCCGAAATTCCGTGCGACATCCTGACATGAAGTTCAACAACGATGGCTCGATCACTTTATGGTTCGGGCCCCAGGCTCCGAGTGGAAAGGAATCAAATTGGCTTCAAACAACTCCGGGCAAAACTTGGTTTGTGTGCCTGCGGCTCTATGGCCCCTTGGAGTCCTGGTTCAATCACACCTGGCGCCCCTCCGAAATCAAGGAAGAGGAGGCTGATCGTAAACGAAAGGCCCCTCCCTGACAGCAGCGCTGCGGTTGTATATATGATTATATATGTAATGTATACTTTTGCTGCTGGCCTAAGGTGGCTGGCCATTTCTTGCCATTGAAATTGTTCAGTTTATGACCTACCGGGGGTCCGGGAGTGGCTGATTTCTGGGCATGTCGCTACGCAGTGGGCGAAATTGCTCGGCCAGGGTTTCCGAAGACAATGGATTCTATTGAGACAGGCTGCAAATGGCCAAGGTCACATATGTCTGAAGCCACCAAAATGGATGGTTCAGTGCTTGGATTGGTTTAAGGGAAAATCTTAACCGGAAACCATAGATTTTCCCATTAAGATCATGGGCCAATGGGGCTTTCCGGTTAAAATACCCCAAGGACTTAGATACATTTCGCTGGGCTCGGCCCTGTCTGGGGCTTGTCTGGCTGTCTTGGGTACCCCAATGGCCGCAATATCCTCAAGTAATCAAGCTTGGCAATGGAAAATCCGCCATGACTCATGACTAGTTGGTTTCCCATTAAATCCTACATGTATAGTTATCCATTTTTAAGGCCATCGATCAGGCCATTTGTCATTTATATGGAATATTCCATTGCCATGTTAAAAATCTCCGTGGGGGGGGGCGTTGATCTTTTCCACAGCCATCGTCGATTCACCTGGTGGGCCGGTGCAGGTGTTTTTCGACTTCATCATTGCGATCAACGGTGTCAACCTGGAGAGCCTCGGTTGAGCCCTGCTAAATGATACTGTGGCGATACTTGATTTATATACGCTGTATTTTTATGTATTTTTGTATATAATATTTATGTGTATATATTTATATATATATATAAATATAGATTTATTGATATAGTGATATAGTATTAATTAGTATTGTAGATATCCACTAAACATAGTTAAACAATACATACATATATATATATATACACCGAATTTATTTGTTTATTTGTTTTTGGGGATAGTGATATAGATCAGGCACGGAGTGAGGATGATCTACATACATCGTTTGAACGCTAACCCTTGGGATGCGGACAGTTTGAAGTCATTGTACCTGACACGTTGAGTTGCCTCAAGGAAGCTTCCCCCAATTTGAATCTCTGGTGTCAAGGTTTGGTGGCAAATTCTTCAATCTGATACGATCTGAATGTATCCTGGTGGTTTTGAACATGTTGTATTCTCCACTATGTTTTGATATGATCCTGATGATCCCCAATGGCAGGCAGCTCGTGTTCCTTTTCGGTACATGGCAAGGCATCAGGGTCAGGGTAGAAAAGTTGTTGTTTCCTATGGCAGACAACCATTTTGAGCCTATCGCAGGGGCTGATTAGTTTCTCACTTTGAGGCCCTCAACATTTGCTTGAAATGACAATTATCTACTATGTTTATATATATATGTTTATGTGTAATATATATATATATATATGTGATTTTCAACAGTTCCTTAACTTGATAAACATAGCATATTCCAAGTTTCACTCTCCCACAATGATTGGGTGACCTTTTTCAAAGACCTGAGCCTGGTGTTGGGGCATGGCTTAAGGCCTGGTGAGCAGTCGATTTTTGCAAAGCACATTCAGGACAGCCCTTGGAGCGAAGAAGTAAGTCATGGTCATCCATGACTTCTGCCCAAATTACTGCGACCCCAGCCGAGGTGACGAGGTTAGTTAGAGAGAATTAACGAGGTCAGTAACGAGGTTGCTTATTGAGAATTTAAGGAGTATGGGCAGTTTTCGGACATGTAGATGGCACGGACCCATGGAATAAAACTTTTGGAGAGCTGGAAAGTTTATTTTGATGATTCAAGCAGGTGGTTGAGTTAAATTTGTATAGAACGAGGCGGCTGTGTAGTGGAAGCAAATAGATTCCAAATCCACCAAAATAAACTTTTCAGGCTGCCAAAAGTTTGTTTCATGTCCATCCGGTGCCTCCAAGACAGCGCGCCAGGGTTTGTAGCAGACAAAACTTTTCAGTGCTGGAAAAGTTTTTTTTGCCAGACACCCTCACTTCAGTACTGGGGCTCAAAGACTCGCACGCTCAAAGTTCCAGGGCCATGCCGCTGCGAGTTCTTCTCCAGTCGCGTCTTGGGTGGCCTTTCGAGGCCATGAAAGACCTTGATGCGATTTTCGGAGAAGTCTTGCAGGAGTTCGCTGCAAACAAAGGGTGGCACCCGTCTGTGTTCACCGTTTACGTTGGTGACAAGCTGGTGCAGCCAGAGACGAAGCTCTCCGAGTGCACTTATGGTGCATATGTCTTCTCCAAAGGGGTACGAAATTAAACTGTACAGGCCCGGAAAAGTTTTTTCCCCGGGCTCACCAAATTAAACTTTTCAGGTCCCGAAAAGTATTTTTCCATGGCTGAGCTTGAAAAAACTTTTCCGGGGTCCGAAAGTTTTTTTTTCCAGACCCTTGGTCCCGATCCCCAGGAAACATTACAGCAATTCAGTGCCTGCGAAGCACATCGAACAAAGCCTTCTCGTGGCACACGGACCATCGCCGCTGGAAGCTGTTTCGGGTCCTCTCTTAGAAGCCAGCCTGGACACTTTTTTGACGAAGGACATTGAAGGGCCAATATTTTGGTGGTGCGTCCTACCAGCGCTGTTCCCCACTGTTTCTAGGCCCACAAACTGAAGCTGTTTCAACTGGTTTTAGTCCCCGACAAAGAATTTTTCAACCTTCCTTGATTCCTTGGACAGGAGCGCAGAATGACGACAGCTGCTTTCATTAGAAAGGGGAATGTGATCGCACAGAGGAGAAGAGCCAAGCGATCTGATGCTGGAGCCAAACGGCCTCATTACAAGCGAAGGAAGGAAAGGCCCGCAGGGCCATTGCGAGGCCTGAGCAAGGGCGATGCTGCGCTTGTGGACAATCAAGAACGTAGAGCTTTTTCCAATATATTGGATGAGATGTCCCCTCCCAAACGCCGTAAGGCGGATGGACACTGAACCACTCTCGGAAAGGCAACGTGAAAAAGCCTTTTGGAAAGAAGGGTTTGGAGACATTGGAACCTGTCCTTGTTCGTGCATCAGACATGTATCAATGTTTACTCACAGGCATTTTTAAATCCTATAGATATACATATATGTATATATATATATATATATATATACATACCTACAGCCTGAAATTAACGAGGCGAGGGGTTATTTTCGAAACCAGATTTAACGAGGCGAGGTGCTATTTTCTAAACCACATGTAACGAGGCGAGGTGCTAAATGCGCGTAACGATGATCAGACACGAGGTAGACGAGGTAAGAAATAAAGTAATTTGCACAGATGACTTGGATGATTTGGGGGTATCTCTATTTTAGGAAACCTTCAAATGTTGTAGTTTCCCCAATGTTGACTCTATATTTCTACTTGGGATTTCTATGAACTTGTGCTGTGTCACCATGCCGGGATGTTGCAGATACGGCAAGTGTCACTTGCTGTACGCAGAGGATCCCAGAGGATGTTTGCCACTGTGCAAACCGCGGGTAGTTTCTTAAAGTTTATTTTTTGGCCACAAAATGGGGATGCATCAACCTGTCCCAAAACGACCTGGTGTTTGCATCCAAGATTGGCCATGTGTAGAGGCCCTTGTTCCGCCTCACAACTTCTCCGGCCTCAAGTCAATCATGTCATAGACATTTCTCCAAGTGATGGTATGCCTGAAGAATGGGGCAGGCCATTTCAGTCACACCCAAGTCATCAAATAGTCACATTAATTGTCCCATTATTACGCCAATCTTCCCACTACTATCCCATGACTATCATGTTTTTTGATGGTTGCCCTCACCTGAAACGGTCATCCCGTCACAGTGGTTGGTTTAGCTGACCAACAAAACAAGATGATTTTCCTCTTGACAGTGAGGGATGTCCCTGAAAGGGCTTGTTTCCTGGTATCATATAGCCATTACCATGGTCGAAGGTTGGATTACTTAGGATGGATGACCACAAACCATTTATTCCATGTCTTGGCCATGGCACATATGACATATGAGAAACTTCCCCATGGCCATCCTACCACCAGGACGCCGAGAATGGTACAGCGAAGGTCACGGTGTACAACACAAGAGCTAACATGACCCGGGAGGCGGCAATTTTTTTTCAGGGACCAAGCTGGGAGATCAGGATTTCTGTTGGTGATGGGTCATTTTGAGTAATGTGGGTAAAACAATGCCATCTGCACCATCCCCCAGTCATCACTATAGATATATATATATATATGGCATTGTTTTACCCACATTAGTGACTAAATAATGGGATAATTCCCCCATGTATAGTGTATTTTCCCATATTTCCCCATATTTTCCTATGATTTTCCTTTGGTAAAGTCCCAATTTGTTGATCTTTTTTGGGGTACCGAAGTTCGACCCCCGACCCATATAAACAGCATTCATTTCTTGTAAGAGATGACCAGCCGGGCCAGCCGTGAGTAGGTTTTCCAGCTTTCAATGGCACATCAAGTGATGGGTCACGTATATAACTGATTGGTGGTTTGGAATATTTGTTTTTTTCCATATATTGGGAATAATAATCCCAACTGACTAATATTTTTTCAGAGGGGTTGAAGCTACCAACCAGTATAATATTGTAGATATGATATGTAATATGATATGTATATTGACACATGAGGTACGGTCAAATCTCTGGTATACTACTTATGTAAAGAGAGTTCTCTGGTTTCTGGAAAATGTACAAAATGCTGTGTAGCGATAGGGGCCCTCCCAAAAGCGATACTTATAATTGTGCATAATGTCCACATCTGACGTTGTTTTGCACAAAGTTACGTACATGCAAGAGGCTAAATTAGCGATACCCCTAGCGATACCTTAGCGATACCTTAGCGATACCCATATGTTCGAAAAGTAGCCCTCAGACCAGACCACAAATAGATCCTTTCCTTTTTCATCCTTTTTCCTTTCCTCTTTTTCCCTTCCTCTACCTTTACTCCTTTCCTTTTCTCTCCCTTTTCTCTCCCTTTTCTCTCCCTTTTCTCTCCCTTTTCTCTTCCCTTCCTTTTCTTTATCTTTTCCATTCCTTTTCCTTTTCTCTTCATGTCCTTTTCCTTTCCTCTTCCTTTCCTTTTCTTTTCCTCTTCCCAATCCTTTTCCTTTCCTCTTGCTTTCCTTTCCTTTCCTCTTCCTTTCCTTTTCTTTTCCTCTTCCCAATCCTTTTCCTTTCCTCTTCCCAATCCTCTTCCTTCCCTCTTTCTTTCCTTTTCGTTTCCTCTTCCTGTCCTTTCCTTTTCCTTTTCCTTGTCCTTGTCCTTTTCCTTTCCTACCCTCTTCCTTGGCTCTTTTTGCAAGACCATGGATAGCGATAGGGCCCCCCCAAAAGTGACACCCAATTTTCGCGAACCAAGAGAAGACAATGAGTTTTGACAACGGCTCATATGTATATCACATACATACATTTTATATATATATATATAGACATATAAATGAACCCCACGCAGTGGACCCGGGTTAAAGGGCCATCACCAGCCCCAGCGGGTCCTTTGGGTCTTTTTTTCAGGTCACGGTGATGCCCAGAAAGTGGGCTGGCAACGGACTTCTTGGTGCCTCGATTTCTTGGCATCCTTGGTGCATCCCACTCAGTAAGTTGGTTTATAATCCATAGAGAATCCATACATGTACGATCGTAGTATATATATATATACATATAGGGATGGTATAATAACTAATATGTATGTATGTATGTATGTCTGCCTGCCTGCCTGCCTGTCTGTATGTATGTATGTATGTATGTATGTATGACTAGGGTAGAAGATGATTATTACCAATGGATTTGCCAATGCGCCTTAAATGGATGGTATTTGGTTACATGTGGTTGCTCTCCGACGTGGCACTGGCCTCAGGAGCAACCGTGCGATATGATGCGGTAGATGTGGTCACTTGGTTTGCCACAGTCCTGCGGTGCAAATATATATATATATAGATAGATAGATAGATGGATAGATAGATAGATAGACAGCATGTAACCACATACTGCAAAGCTATCATGGTTGTTTCTTCATTTTTGTTCCATGTTTGCAGAATTGCCGCCAGCAAAAGCACAGAAAACACCGCCAGAATCATGTAAAAACGCAGGTGAAACCTGCCATTTGTCCCTTTTTTCATGCGCCGGTTTTTCAGGTACCCATCCCTCGGCAAAATGATCCCGATCCCGCCTCTACCATTCACCAAACAGCAGGAATTCAATGGGCTTCTACTTGGGCAGTTGGGGTTATGATAACATCCCATAAGTTGGGATGCAACCCCACTGGAACTGCACCCCAAGTAGTGTTCAAACCATCATTCGTATCCAGGCGGAGAACCATGGAATTCGCGTTCTGGAGGTGGGAAGAGAGACTTTCCAAATCCTTCCAATAACAAGATGAGTGCAGTAAGGGTGGCGACAGCAAAACCATAAAGCTTCCATTTGTGGCAAGTCATGTGAGATGGTTTTCGGTTGTGGGTTTACCCGTTTACCCCTTTGATCCAAGACTTGGTTGAAGGGACAAAAATAAAGGAAACTTCCATTTTGAACGGCAAAAACACAATTTTTCCTGCAACATTTTCAGTACCTCAAGCAAGCGGAATGTATTCGAGCTGGATAAATCACCTGTGACGTGCGTCATGCGCAGGTTTTCCCGAATTCACCTGCAGCTCATGCTGGCCTTGTACCATTCCAGGACACATGAATTGACGTGAGCCTTTCCTGTCCCCATTTCGACATTTCTTAAATGATCATGAAAGGATAAGAACCAAGGGAACCAGCATCGAATTGACCATTCTTATGTCTTCTTGTATCTCATAGTCCTAAGATGTCTCAAGGATTATTTAACAGCCCTATTTTGGGGGTCAACAATTCAATATTATATATATAATATGTATATAATATATATATAATATATATATATAATATGTAATATATGTAAATGATGATCCTTTTTTGAGTGTTTGAACATTGGGTACCCGAAATCCACCACTTGATTTTCATTTGTGCGGGTATACCATGGTATCCCACATGTTTTTGGATTTTTTGGTTAGTTAGTTAATGTTACTGTATGTAGTTAGTTATATTCCACAATATCCCACTATCATAATCATATCCAACTCTATCCCAACATGATGAAATTTTCTTTACCCATGTTCATCGCTTAAACCATGTCTTATTTCTCCATTTCAATCGGTGCGACCGTGCAACCGCGTAGGATTTCTTGCTGGGCACTCCACAGCGTGTCTTTCACGACATCGACGAACTCGTTGAGGTAGTGCAGGCCAACATCAATGAGCGAATGAATGCACCTGAGCCCGACAAAGGTGACCAAGGGACAAGGGACCTGTTAAGGGACCTGTTATGGGATGATTGGGGGATGTTTACTAGGCATTTCATAAAACTTGGGAGGTGTCATGGGTACAACTCATATATTTGATGTGATACTTCTGGGTAAATTATTCAGGACCAAACTAGACATGCTGGTGAACGTGAGGGTAACGATTACAAAAATTGCCTTTTTCAATCAAGTTGGTAGATTGTGATGATTTATATTTATATATGTACCTGCAGATGCATTGTTTACTTGTACCCACCAAACTAGCCCAAGAATCGTTCATTCATTTAGGTACAATACAACAAATGAATGGTATGTGTGATGGGATGTGATGGAATAGAACAATAAATATACGATCCCGCAGCAGATCAACCAGGTATTTTGATGGGATGAATTACCAGTATTTTGATGCATATATGTGAATGGGCACCGGTGCCAGATATTTTGATGGGAATAATTTATATAAATCTATTACTACAGCTGTGGGTTTGCCAAGGAGTTTATGTGGATTCTGAGCCACATTTAGAGGCAAAAGAGGGCCCAAATGTTTCTTAGATTGGTCACATTCTCTCTCTCTATCCCCAAATTGAGCAGAAGGAAAGGCCCTTCAAACTGTACGGTTTCTTGCATCTCTCTCCAGACTGATCATCAAAACGGGATTTTAAGGGGAAACACAATTTGGGACATACCATGACTGAGGTCTACGTCTACAACGCAGACTCAGAGTCAGTTAGAGAGGCCATTGCGAGCAGTGCATCTGTCAGATTTGATCAGCAAAAACTGAGGAAACCTTGGATTGGCCGTTTAATTCTTCAGTCTTTGGCCATCAATGGTGGAATAGTTCATACCCAGCTAAAAGTTCGTCTTTGGCAAAAGCAATCCCTTTTCCGTATTTTCAACACCCCCATTGTACTTCTCCCAAATACATAACATATATATATATATATATCCACACTGAAAGCGTGATGTTTTCAGGAGAGTGGTGGCATAGACATTTTTAGGGGAAGGATTTCTTCAGCCTTGACACTCCCAGTGCCGCCAGACCATCCTTATGCCCAACAATGCCTGGGGTGGCGATGGCTGCATCGGTTGTGACATAGGTGGGGGGCCCGGCAAACATAGCTCCGGCGGCTCCACGTATCCTGTAAAGCCAGCTTAAAGGATATATATATATACCCTCTGGATCCCTCTGGTTATTTAACATAGCCATGGAAAATGGCCCATTGATAGATGATTTTCCGATTAAAACCTCCATTTATAAGGGATTTTCCATGGCTATGTTAAATAACCAGATGGTACAGTATATATCCTTGGATGCACTTCAGTTTGCACCCCAAACATGTATGCTGATGCGGGTTTGAGTCAAATCATGTCGAATCTAAAATCTAGTTACTAGTCTCTTCACTCGTCTCTTCGCCCCAGCATAGTCTTTTGGTCTATTTCTAGCAGGCCCACCATAGTAAACCATCTCATGTTTCGTGTAGCCCATAACTTGATCTCCAGGTGTTGCCCCATTACTTCGCAGAAAATCCCAGTCGGACTCCATGGATTACCTCTGGGTAAAACTTCTGAACGTTGGCGGAATCTTAGCCGACGCAATTATATCCGTTGATCTATGAAAAGTTATCAGTATCTATATCCATTTGATTCCATTTGTGGTTTGTATAGTTGATGCTTGCATACAGTATGTTGTTCACGGTTAACTGACCCAACAAGCACACATGATTTACAGATATTTATAGTATTATATTGGTTAGATACTATATTGATAGTCCGTTTCAGGATTCTGAAACGTTTAAGTTTAAACGCCCCAGTCTTGATTTTTGAAGCCTGCCATCCCATACCATGATCCCAAACCCAGTTAATTGAGCCTTAGAATCACATGTTTCATGTTGAATGGCCAATGATATTCCATGTAATATTGCAATGTGCTGCTCCATACTTTGCTAAGTTGGTAAGCCCCCCAGTCTATGGATGATTTTGGAAAGCCCCTTTTTGAAAAAACATGGTTTCTGGGGGCGTAAACTACATGGAACCCGGCGCATAGACGGCCGTGGCTCAAAATGAAGATTGAGTATCATCCAGCATTGATTTTCTGTGCGTTTGTAAGGGGATTTCTCAAGTTTCAGGTGTATACACTTTTTGTGGCTGAATTCCATTGGAAAGTTAGCTATATGGCGTTTTCGCCTCAGCGAAACGATAATTTTAATGCTTTTTTGAAATGACGTAACTACTTTGTCTATGCCAGGATTTGCTTCTTTTTTTCCTCATCTGACAGCATCAATCCTGCGGCAGGAGGTCTTCCAAGTGTTCCAAAAATTCGCAGCAGCGTAGCATCCACGTATGTAGGCAAGGTACATGAACGTTAATATCCCCCCGACCCCACCCATGCCCAGTGACGTAGCAACAGCGTAGCATCCACGTATGTAGGCAAGGTACATGAACGTTAATATCCCCCCCACCCCACCCATGCCCAGTGACGTAGCAGCAGCGTAGCATCCACGTATGTAGGCAAGGTACATGAACGTTAATATCCCCCCCCACCCCACCCATGCCCAGTGACGTAGCAGCAGCGTAGCATCCACGTATGTAGGCAAGGTACATGAACGTTAATATCCCCCCCCACCCCACCCATGCCCAGTGACGTAGCAGCAGCGTAGCATCCACGTATGTAGGCAAGGTACATGAACGTTAATATTCCCCGCCCACCCCACCCAACCCCCTTTTGCTAAAATATGTATTTCGGTCCACGGCCGTCTATGCGCCGGGTACCAACTACATTACGTGTTTGGGATTGATAGATTACTGTAACTATGGTTTATGGTGTATATATATAATTATATATATCATAAAAAATCCCTTAGATGGGCTGATAGATGTTAGACTAACAATGTATAACCATTATTACAGCCACTGTAGGTTTCTGTTAATTCCGGCCAAGTTAATTCTGGAACGTGCGTTTAAAAAAGCAAAAAACAACGATTTAGCCAAGGAGATTGAAAAACAAATGCAACAAACCAAACTCAAAAAAAAACAAACAGTCACCAAAACTCAGCATTTTTGTTTGCTTCATGTTGTGCAGTTTTGTTGGCATTCATTTTGCATGATCATTAGTTTTTTTTGTTTAAGAAAATATCTTCCCGCTGCATTCCCAATCATTGTTTTTTTTTGTATTTTTCATTCCTTTTTTTGAATCACTTTGTTTTTCCTGCTTGTTTATCGCATATAAAGAACAGCACGGATTACATGAGTTAACTTGTATAGCAGGCGACATAGCTGCAGGCAAAATGGTCTATGGGGTTAGACTAACTATATACCGTACATGCACTTGGTTTATATAACTGCCTAGCTAGATCGAGTTATAAACATATTATATAACTATTTATAAAACAACTACCATAGTCTCAAGACATAGTTTTTAAGACCTCTACCGGGTTATAAAGCTCACCAAACTGGGTTGTTTAGACTAACTAGATGATAGATGGTAGATACTCGATAGATATATCATATATATTATATCTATAATATATCCATTTGTTCTAGAAACATCTGGTGTTTTTTCTAACCAACAAACATCTACTGGACGACTGGGGCCGTGCCTCTTTAGGCACCGGCTTGCTGCATCGCATCCCTGCGCCCCGGCGGCCGCCGGGTGGGGCCTGTGCTCCTCAGGCGGATTTCCATGGTGGTTTTGATGAGTTTTCATGGGACTTCCATGGGGTTTTAAGATGTTTTAATGGGAATCAACCTCCATTTAGAGGGAATATATGATAGAGATTGATAGAGTTGATAGTGATTTAATGGAGCTTTAACCAACCAAACATAATGATTTACAGTAATAGGTTTTATATAATGGGATCTTCATGGGTTTTCATGGGATCTTCGTGGGGTTTAATCGTGTTCAATTGGATATGGGGTTCGACTATCATGGGATATAATGGAATATGTTTGGATATCACCATTTCCCAACTTAGCAAAGACCTTGAGAATAGTCCATTTTTTTAAAGGGAAGTAATCTTCCAAACCTCAAGTCATGGCAGGGTCAATGTTCGTTGGGGGGAAGGTCACCAACAAAAACTGGATTTTACTCATGGAACCCGAATGGGGATCTCAGCGATTGTGAAAGAGATTTAAGTCACAAACCAACCGCTGGTTGGTGAATTAACCACCAATATGGTTTAGAAGGGGTATATAATTAACCACCAAATATGGTTTTACAAATATGGTTATGTGAATTAACCACCAATCATGGAACCAATTTGACTTGTGTTCCATAATTGCTGAGATTTGTAAAACAGAACAGGATCAGATATCAGATGCATGAAAAAATCAGACGAACAACACAATGATTTAATGGGATTTGAACCTTGCCCTAGCCCTGAACGCTCAGAACCAAAAAAAATATGGTTTACCACATTTGGTAATTACATATAGTTACATAGCATGCATGATCAATGTCACTACATCGTTATATGCAAATGACAGGAAACACATTGGTGTGCCCAGTAGCAGGTCACTGGTGTCCCGCAGATGCCCGCGGTGGCAATACCGTGCCTTCGTCACTGCTACTTGGGGATGGGTCAAAACCTATGAGTTTACCATCTGACTGGAGGAATAGCTGAATAGCCGTCCAAGAACTAGCAACTATAAAAAGGGTACCGTTGGGAAACAGGGTTTGACCCAGAACCAGTTTTTTCAGATTGGTTAAATATTGTAACTTCCCTGGAACCTCCAGCGTGGTGTACATACATTTGTGTCCCACTGCCTGTTCGATGTGCAAATTGATCTTGCGGTAAACCTACTTGTCCCGCCAAGCACAAGTCGTTGATTCTTTTGCTTTATGCCCGCCAACCCTGTTCCAAACGGCGCAAAAACCCTGCAAACGCCTCGAGCTAGACCGAAAAAGTTAGGCGCAGTTTAAAAAAGAGGTCATGCAAGTTTCGAGGCCACATAGTAGCATCGATCCGAGGATTTGGGGTCCTTACATGTGAATACATTTGGAGGATTTTGGGGAGTCGGAGTTCATAAATTATTAATAACCTGTTCCGGCATCACTGGTTTGGTAGTTTGATGGTGGTTGTTGCCCCCGAATTTTGGTGATGTTTATCGAGGAAACACGGGAACTCTGTCGGAAGCTGTTGGATAGTTTTGCCAATGTTTAAGCAACATATACAAAAATGAGAAAACACGTACCAGAATGCAGACCAAACAACGCAATCATACCAAACCTGATTTTACCCCAGCTAGTTAGATGGGAAAAAAACATGCAATCACACGATTGATGCATTTTAGACATCTATGAAAGCCTACTACGTTTCCAAACCAGTGGGACTAGGTGCAGAAGTTGTTCACTGAAAATCAAAGGTGGATGGCTTGTAGTTTTGCCTCAGGAAAGGTCCTGCGGCTGCTCCCAGCATCACTGGCATCCCTACGCCGGGCATTCCAATGCCTGGAGGGATCCCAGTACCTGGAGGCATTCCCCCACCAGGGGGCGTAGCGTTGGCACCTCAGTGTGAGACTGTTCCCGTAGCGTTCCAAAATCACCAGATTCACCTTGACAGAAAGGCCCTATTTATGGGGTAAATATGGATAAGGATTTAGAGGTACCTGAGTGGCAAACTCAAGTGGCAAAATGCTTCTAACTAAGCATGGTAAAGCTTGGATGAGTGGGCTAATAGTTTTATTCTAGGGAGGGCTATTTATTTAGGGATATGTTGATTCCGTTTTGTTTTTTTAGTTTCTGGTTCCCAGCTTCTCTGCTTCTCTGCTTTTCCCTGCTTCTTTGCTTCTCCGCTTTTCTGCTTTCCCCTGCTTGCCTGCTTCTCTGCTCTTCTACGTTTTCCTGCTTTTCTGCTTCTTTGCTTCTCTGCTGTTCTGCTTCTTGGCTTCTTTGATTTTCTGCTTTTCTGCGTCTTTGCCTCTGCTCCTCCGCTCTTCCCTGCTTTTCTGCTTTTCCAGCTTCTCTGCTTCCCTGCTTTCCCTGCCTTTTTGGTTTCTCATACTGTATATATACGTATATACATATATATATATATACCTTGAAATTCATACTACCAAAATATTTTGGTCGTTTGTGTCGGTACTATTTTGTTTGGTCGGTTCTTCGAAAACCAGGCGTTTCACAAAAAAACACATACGAACTTGATGAAAAGTAGGCGATATGCGAAGAAAATAGGCGATGCGTCTGGCCTTCCATTGGTTCTACCTTAAATCCAGGTCACTCCTGCTTGTTTACGTGGGTGCTATTTCTGACTCCTATACTGACTACTTTTTATCTCGATGCCTTTCAAAAACTACTACGGAACTAGCTGCTATGTGTAAACACAAGCCAAAAAACCAAGTTTTCTGGATTTGCGGGAGTTTGCGGGTTTTTGCGGGCGTTTTGCGGATTTTTGCGGGATGTTTGCGGGGCGTTTTGGTCGTGTTTTTTTGTTTTTTGCAGATTCTGTGCAAAAGTGCTTTGCACAGAAAAAGTAGGCGGGGTTGCGGAGTCAGACCTGCATACCCAACTCCAATGCACTACTCTGGCAGCCTCAAAAAATCCTACTTACATGCGCGGGAGACGGGAGGAAAATATCATGAAACATTCAAAATTATCCAATTTCCATGGTTTTTGGGCGTTTCAGTTTTTGATGACGATTCAAAAAAAAAACAGGCGATTTCAACCATAATTGGTAAACAACCAAAAGGGTCAAAATATATTAGGCGTTTGAAGATCCAGGTATATATATATATGTTACAGAAAACACCAAGAAGCATCATATAATACATGAAACCCTAAATCATCCCTAAATAAACCCACAAACCAACAAACAAATACTAAAGCAACTCTAACTAAACCCTAAAAACACCCTAAATAAATATGAAACTAATCCTAAATAAACCCTAAACTAACCCTAAATAGGTCCTAAACCAACCCCACATATATGTTAATCCAACCCCAAATAAACCTCACACCAACCCTAACTAGATCTTAAACCAGGCGTAAATAAGTCCTAAACCAACGCTAAACAAACCTTAAACCAAGCCTGAATAGGTCCTACACCAACTCTAGATCCTGAACCACGCCGAAAAAACCATAAAATAACTTAAATGTAGATCCTAAAGCACCTCCAAATAGATGTTAAACCAGAACCGGGCCTAAATATATCCTAAACCAACCCTCAACTAACCTTAAACCAATCCTTAACAGGTCCTAAACCAACTCCAAATAGATCCTTAACCACGTCTAAATAAACCCTGAAACCAACCCTAAATAGATCCTAAACCAACCCCAAATAGATGTTAAACCAGGCCTAAATAAACCTGAAACCAACCCTAAATAATGATCTTAAACAAGGCCTAAATAGATCCTAAACCAAACCTAAACAAACATTAATCAACCCTAAACAGGTCCTAAACCAACCCTAGATGGATCCTGAACCAAGCCTAAATAAACCCTAAAACCACCGTTAAAAAGACCCCAAACCAACCTACTACACAGAGCTTAAACAAGCCTACAAAAAAAACCTAAATAACACCTGAACCAATCTTGAATAGATCCAAACCCAACCCTAAATAGATCTTAACGAAGCCTAAATACACCCAAGCCTAAGTAAACCCTAAAACCAACCCTGAATGAACCCTAAACTAACCCTAAATAGATCTTAAACCAAGCCTGAATAAATCCTAAAACCAACCCTAACTAGATCTTGAACCAGGCTTAAATAGATCATAAACCAACCGAAACCCTGTAAATGCTAAATAGGTCCTAGACCAACTCCAGATAGATCCTAAACCAAGTCTAAATAAACCTTAAAACCAACCCTAAACAGATCCTAAACCAACCCCAAATAGATGTTAAACCAGGCCTAAATAAACCTGAAACCCGACCAACACAGAGCTTAAAACAAGCCTACATAAAACCCTAAATAACCCCTAAACCAATCTTAAATAGATCTAAAACCAACCCTGAATAGATCTTAACAAGCCTAAATACACACAAAAACTAACCCTAATCCTAAACCAAGCCTAACTAGATCTTAAACCAAGCCTAGGTAAACCCTAAAACCAACCCTGAACGAACCCTAAACTGACCCTAAATAAATTTACAACGAAGCCTGAATAGATCCTAAAACCAACTCTAAATGGATCCTAAATAAACAAACCCTAGCTCTAAAACGAATGCTTAAAAAACCTTAAACCAACCCTAACAACGACCCTAAACTAACCCTAAAACCAACCCTAAATGAACCCTAGTTGCAAACTAGCATGCTATCTACATGAACCGTTCCAGCACTAAAATGTTGCAAATTCTCAAAAATGCTGCAAATACACCGTTGAAATGGCAGCTTCCAGCTCGAACATGCTGCAAATAGCACCAAAATGTTGCAAATTCCATGGAAAACGAAAGGTTCGAACTCAAAAATGATGCAAATATTGTTGAAATGGCAGCTTCCAGCTCCAGAATGATGCGAAATAGCAAGGACAATGGACAGGACAGGAAATTCAAAAAAAACAAAACGGAAAAAACAAATCACAATGGACTCACCATCACGTAACTTACCAGAGAAAATGGGCCACGTGATCCACTCATTCTCCAAACATTTCGAAAAGAAAAACATCTAATCTTTTGGAAACGAGTCACTGACGTCGGGATCTTCAACACGGCTTGTGCCGAAATTATGTAGGTACTAAAGTGGATGTCATAAGCGGCCGACACACGGTACCATTTTGGGTCAAGCCCAAATCCCCCTTCACCTTGTGTCTCCCACTATATGATACTATATGTAGAAAAAGTATTAGAAAATAGAAAATACATGAGAATACCAACATTTGTGCATTGCATCTCTACATGTGGGTGCTTCTTGGGGTATTTTTGTAAGTGAATATAGTATACCATACATGCACGGCCGTGCAGGGCATTGGATTGAAGAGGGGTCCCTACATTGAAACATGCTGTTTGGTGTTTCATATTCAATATTTATCCTGATTAAGATCCCACAAGTGCTTAGGCATTTCTACAGACGTATAACTTAGATATCTACTTGAGCATACTAGGAAAAACGTCACAGAAACCAAACACTCTAGGAGCTTAGACATATCCAGTTGTTGCATTTGAAATCATTCTTACAAAAGCTATGCATTTAGATATCAAATTGATATACTGATTCCCAGCCAATTTCGAAAACCAACCATAAAGACCAACCAGCTACTTTGAATCTGAGAAGCTACTAAGATATGTGGATAATTTTACAATGGTTAATCTCATACCATGAGTAGTATATATATATATATACAGCAACCGTCAAAACTCGGGGATACTAAGATATGTATTGGCTGGACATCGGTTTTCAGAAAATTCAGAAAATGCGATGGGACCTTTCCAAATAGCGATACTCCATTTTGAATTCAATAGTTAATAAGTTGATATTTTCATGAGTGTTGATTCCGTCAAGTGCCCGCATCGATGATAGACTTGGGCTCAGGATTGACAGAAAAGGAAAGGAAGAGGAAGGGAAAAGAGGGAAAAGGAAAAGAAAAGCAAAGGAAAAGGAAAGACAGGGAAAGAAAAAGGACAGGAAAAGGAGAGGGCAAGGAAAGAAAAAGAAAGAGGAAACGGATAGGAACAGGAAAGGGACGGAAAGGAAAGAGAAAGGGAAGGAAAAGGTAAGAGAAAGGGAAGGAAAGGGTAAAAGAAAGGGAAGGAAAAGGACAGGGAAAGAAAAACGAAAGGAAAAGGACAGAAAAAGAACAGGAAAAGAACAGAAAATTGAAAGGAAAAAGAAGGGAAAAAGGAAAGGAACAGTTTCATAAGCAAATGATAATGCACTCGCCTGATTCTACAAAAAAACGCGCGTTGATTTTAGCAATACCATAGCGATGCCTTAGCGATACCTAAGCGATACCCAAGTTCTCCCAAATGCACAGGATCCCCAACCACTTGTACTTCTACTTCTACTTCTACTTCTACTGCTACGTTTTCTATTGTACTTCTGCTTCTACCACTTCTACTACTTTTGCTGCTACTACTACTGCTACTACTACTACTGCTACTACCACTGCTGCTGCTGCTGCTACTACTACTACTACTACTACTACTGCAACTACTACTTCTACTACTTCTACTTCTACTACTACTACTACTACTACGACTACTACTACGACTACTACTACGACTACGACTACGACTACGACTACGACTACGACTACGACTACTACTACTACTACTACTACACTATTAAAATATCATATATACTTTAGCTGCGTTTAGCCTTAGCGATACTCCCTGTAAATTTATATTGCGCTATGATGGTTAAATTGCTACGAAACCGTTGATGTCCATTTCATGAGCAAGGATTTTTGACAGCCGGACATATATATATATATACATACATATATAGATATATATATATATTTCTTGGTTCGTTATCAATACATTGACCATCTCCCCACATGCCCCACATGTCAAGAAGCATTATATTCTCATCACAATCCGCGTATATGCCGTTCCTGTTCGTTAATTGTCCATATTCACCGACCCTTAGTAATATGTGTGGATTAAACTAGCAAATACCGGTACCATCAGAAAGCAACAAGTACCAATAAAATAAATTTACTAATACACAACAAATACGATAGAGTTATAGGACAATGACATGTATATGTATTTGATTGTTACCTGTTAGATCGTACATTCCCCCTGTTATATGAATATCCCTGGTTAGCTAAGTTAGGGCCATCTATAGGCCTTACTTGGTGGGTCATCCCACCTGAAGCTTGTTTTACCCATGATGAATCCCCAATATATTCCACTGTATACATTAGATGCCCATGTTTACCACCATGTTTGATGCTTAGAATCATGTTAAATCACCATGCATGACTAACAAATGAGTATCACGTGGTTCACTAGGGATTACTAGGGATAGAAGAAGGTTTACAACTGTAATATTCATCTATATGGCTGATGGTCTTGGGAATTAATTATATATATATATATGGGATCTAGACCTAAAACACCAGCCCCATTTACAGTGAAATTAGACAAAATACATTGAAAAAAACATATTCATGGGGCTTAACAATAGAAACCATGCCATAACTGGGATGCAACACAGCACCCGGGCCCGTCATGGCCCGCCATCCGAGGCCGGGCGCATCGTCTCTGCCGGCCATTCGCCCCGGCGGCAGCTGGGCGCCTCCAGCGCAGCCTGCGCCTGCGCCTGCGCCCCCGCCTGCGCAGGTTGGGGTGGCGAGCCGAGGTGATAAATCACCGACCAAAAATCGTGATTTAATGGGATTTAATGGGATTCAATGGTTAATCATGGTAATTAATAATAGCTAATAATGGTGAATCCTCTGGATGGAAGAAATCCTGCACCAGTTGGTAAGTATTGGTAACTATGAAACACTGTAAAGAATGAAATTATATGGGGATAAACCATCTACCAACTGGTGCAGGATTTCTTCCATCCACAGTATCATGGGGATAAATTGTCCATTTGGTTCATGGAAGATTAATCTATAAATTGGGATGGCGTGGGAATACAATGGGATAACAGAGGATGTCATTCACCAAATAGAATTTCCTAAAATGGGGGCACCCCAAAATCATTCGAAACTAGACCACGACTTAGTATTGAAACCCATGGTAACTTGGGGATCCCCCATGATCTAAGAAACACCCATATACATGGGATTTTGATGGATTTTGGACGTTCTTTGTTTTGTTTTTTACCTTCTCCTCCGGCAAGCGAATATGAGATACGGAAAACCTATGTTCATGTTTCTTGGAAAATGATCTGCACGTGGAGGTTTTTTCCATATCTGTTCGTCTGTTTGCCGGAGTGTAACCAACAAAAAACGGATCCAAAACATCACACAGTTTTTTTTGGCATGCAGATTTTTGAATTTACACAACTGAAAGATATGAACATTATGATTTTCAATGATTTGACCAACATAATACAGCGTTCATCGATCACACATGCGCATGAACATAAATATGGATTCAACCAATCAGCGTAGGTATACAATAAGAAAAAAAACAATGATTCAAGAGACATTTTTTTACACTCATGCAACATGCACCTGTGGAATTCTATCGACATGAAAAAGGGATTGAACTAGCAAAAACGATGCGCAAAAACATTAATTCAGCCACAAGAACTGGATATTTGAGCCGCAAACTGGGAACTGTTTGTACAACCCTCGAAACACGCTCCATTTCTACTAGGGGACGATGTACCGGGTTGGCTGACTGAAGACTGATGCTACTGTATTGGGATTTATTAAATCCACCAGCCAGTCATCAAGTCATCATGTGTTTCTTCTCTTTGGACCTGTAACAGAAGGCGATATGACCAGCCCACTTTCATGATTCTGAACAGCCAAAGCACTCAAGATCGAGACTTTGTGAAGATCAATTCCCCAAGCCTTCCAGTTACCTTCCAGCGGCAGTTGCCTTGCAGTTCCAGTTGCCTTCCACTTATATACAATTTAGCTTCGTTTAGGTACTCTAAGCCACTGGCAACGGGCTGTTCCAGGCTGGGGGAGCGACCATCACCCCAGAGGCAATGGCCCAGCTGCAGGCGTTGGGTATGGCGTATGGCTACTGTATGGCTAATGATGACCACATATGACCACCTCGATGAAATTGATGCGAGACTGAAAATCACAGGAACTTGTTTTTAGGACTGAAAATTGGTACCCCATGTTGGGTCGCGGCCAAGTGGAGATATCTGGAGACTGTAAGCACTTGATGAATAAGGACGACAAAGGCCAGCACCATTCTGGACTAGTGCTGGGAGACTGGAAACTACTGGGTGGGCGGAGTATCCAAACCATTTTTGGACACTTTGCACATTGAAAATGGGAAAGTTGGTGTCAGTGCGGTCAGTGTTGTTTTAGATTTAGATATTTAGAGAAACACTGATGTGCAGTTTTTGGCATCCAGCAGCTTTTCCCGGTCTATTTATAGCCAGTCTAGAGCTCTCCGGAGACCTGCCAAGATCGATAGAGCCACCAGCAATTGGCAGAATCAGCCTGGCCAGGCCCAGATACAACAAATGGGCATAGGGGCTGCCGGTACGAACGGCGAGGTGCGCCTTGTCGACACGATGCTCCGATGCACATTGAAGAAAAGCACGAGCCCTGAAAATATCTGAAAATTACCATATGTTTTTTGCTTGGGCATAGTTTGACGATGTTTGATGTCATGAACATCCAATTTGGGGCTGAGTGAAACACAGATATATATATATATATATCATTTTTGGGTGAGTTTAGTTTGATGATCCATTTGCAGTACCAATCCAACAAAACTGTCGCGGCCAGGTGATCTCGCCCAGCTCCATGGCAGAAAATCCCAAGGCCGAAAAGAGACCTCTGGCTATTTGAAACCTCACTGGAATTATGGTTAGTAAGGAGAATCATCCCCAAATGGTCCCTTAGGTGGATGATTCCCCTCAGTACTAACCATAATTCCAGTTAATGGCGATTCTTAAAACACATGATTAGTATTCAGGTTTGTGTTTCTTTGTTTTTTTGATTTACCCAGCTTATGTGGATCTATCTGGTATATTGAGGATTGCTTGACAAATTATCATCACCTATAATTTGTGATAATTTGTGGGAATCCCCTTCTCAACCAACCAGTAGGAAGGCATGACATTTCGGGTTTAGCATCCACTTCTCCGGTCAGTCCTGAAGCAGTTAGCGACGTAGAACAAATGGCAGTCAGCTTGTATACCTCGAAGCAATCTGTCGCTACTATTCCTCCTCACCACATTCCCAGAATTGGTTTGAACATCTGAACCTTAAGAAAAAACAAATTTGGAGGTACAAACGCCTTGCTTTCCGGCTAAATAGCTCCCATCACACTCAGACTATTGATCCCATTGATTTTTGAAATCTCGATTATATGTTATATCATGTCATAATTTTAGCACAAAACTAGCAATTCATAATTCTTGGTGTACCCCCCACAGCCACATCTGAACATTCTGAGTAGTTATATCACCATTGGTAGTATCACTAATATCTCTTATCACTACATATCAATAACTGATCATTCCCTGCAGGAGGTTCCAAACACATCGGAAAACCCACAATATGCGCCTTCGTTCATTCGTTCTTTCACCAAAAAAACCATGAGTTTGAGATTTCAACCGAGATTTTTCGATGTTTTTTTTCTTTCAACCAAGATTTTCCTGGGTTTCCACAGCTCCATGGGGAGAAATGGCCGAGAAACAGAGCTTCGGCCGCGAGGCTCCTCCCAGTACGCCGATGAATGGGCAAGAGATGCCACCTGTTGACCTCTCTGCGGCTATGGACCCCAGCAAGGTCAGGGGCGTGGTGGCGCTGGCCGCCGCAATGACGATCATCTAGGATTGTTTTGTTCATGTGACTGTTTGGTAATACTTATTTAGTATTTAGTATTTACCTCAATATCACTAAAGATCAGTAAATATATGTAAACATATGTAAATATCAGTATCATCATCATCATCATCATCATCCTCCTCAGCCTTGATAGTGCCATTACCATATTGTTTGTTGTTTGCAACTGTTGGTGTCTTGTCGTCACTGGATTTGTTATTTAGGAAAAAAAGGTTGTGTAACTAACCAGGGATATGACCTATGACCGCCAGAGGTATCTACTTCAATCGGCTTAATGCTGCGAGAACTGACTGTTTTTCTCTGATGCACATTGGGGGAACAATTGAGTGAATGGAAGTTTGGCCAAAATGGTATAGTTTGCGAGTCGAGTCTTCAAAAAACGGCCTGCAAGTGGTTTTTGAAACAAATCATAAACGAACGTCACTACTAAGTAGACCGGTTGCAAGGTTCCTTGATGCAATGAGACATGAACCTCAACCGCAAACATCAGCCAGAACCATGGCCGACGGCGCCATGGATGATGATTCGCAAGGAAACCCCACAGATGTTTTCTTCATCACCTTGTTTGCGGTCGATGAACTACGTGAATTTGGAAATATACTGTAACCATCTGTAATCATTGTAATCCCCATGTTCATCTTTCAAACATTTGGATTATGTTCCATTTTTTATATGGGTTGTCATCCGGAACCCACTGACTTTCATATTTTTCAAGATGGTTATGACTTTCATATTTTTCAAGATGGTTATTGCACCACCAACCAGTCATGTTCCCATTTAATTCAAACGCCATCCATCGCAACTGGCAGTTTGCCGGCTTGAGCGGCAATGCATCGCCCACACAACCGGCAGGGGACCCAGGGAATCCACTGGAGTCGGATGGATTTGGAGGTATATACATATAAAACATATATATAATAATAAGAATAATATATAATAATAATATTATATTAAATTAAATTAAATTTATATATATATATATATATATATATCATCATATATCCAGATATATATGAAATATATATGAAATATATATGTATAATGATATGTAAATATTATATTTACATATCCACAAATATCCACAGTATATATGTATATATATATATATGATTATATATGATATGTTGCACACCTTTGCTTGGATGTCTTTTACCCAAAATTGCATGGGTCATGCCACCAAAACTTGGATTGTGGCTGCACATGTTGAATTTACAATGAAGGTGGGGTCATTCATACATGTGGATGAATAAAGTGATGATTTACATAAATGTCCTAGATTTATATAGTACGCAATTTGGATGGTAACTATATATAATTATATATATATATGTATACACACGTATCATTAAGACATCATGCATTACACATCACATACCCTCTGGTAATTTAACATAGCTCTTGAAAATGGCACATAGAAATAGTTGATTTACCTATTAAATATGGTGATTTTCCAGTTCACAATGTTAGTTTACCAGAGGGTATCCCATGTTTTTTTGTTGAACCGATGTTTTTTTGGTCAGATGGAAGACCCCTTTTGCACGTCTCCAGGTTCCTGCTGCGCGGGTCTAGGGTGTCGCTGAGTGCGAGGGGGCGCAGAGCAGGGTCCACTGGCAGTTCGTTCAGTTTGATATGGACTTTAAACCATTAGATTTGATAAGTATCTAACATACAAAACCATTCCAATGAGCAGTTTGATTTTGAAAACATTCGAAGCTAGGGAGATTCCCAACAGCAAATAAAACATAATAAAACAATTTGAATTCCATGAGCATGCCAAACACCAAATCTGGTTGGTGGTTTGGAACATGTTATTTTCCATAATACAATATATATATATATATTGGATAATCCTTCCCATTGACTAATATTTTTCAAGATGGTTAAAACCACCAACCAGAAATATATCATCTGGTTTTTGACAACATTGTTTCTCACTCCTCGAAGAAGTCCATCCATGGGATATCCAGCGTCCAGGACACTTCTGTTTCTTGGGGCGTCCCAACTTGCAACACGGTCTCAGAGATTGATACCAGAACGCTGTTTGAGCATGTTTGAGCCATATTCCAGAAATATGTTCGGAACTGTCATGGTTAAAACCCCTTTACAATGGTTCCCTAGGGATTTTCCCTTAAATCAATTCGTTGACTCATTTGCTGGTATTCTTTCGATGGGGCAGTCCTTCATTGAAACACCTGTTGACTGCTTGGATCCTGCGCTTGACGAGTTTCACTTGATGCCACCATGACGCATGACGCGTTTTAGTCAATTGATCATGACATAATGATCTTGATAGTGCCATGAACAACCATGAACAACGGGAGTCAACTGCTATCAGATCGCGTTCCATTCAGCTGTGAAGGTGCAAGGCGTCTATAACCTCATTAGCTCGTAGCTCGTGCACCGCGGAAGTTGGCTTTGCGCCAGTTAGAAACGGTGAGTTTGGCTGTTGACACTTGGATGTTGGATGTTTCCCTTCACATCTCAGACGTGTGACTGATTCAATGACAATCAATGGAATGGAGCGCATGAACAGTCACATTTGCAGCTCAGGTTTCCCCCTTTCTACCCATTTCGAGCCCAAGCTGTTTGGGGCATTGTTGTCAGCCATGCCTGGTATGCCAGCTGTGAAAGGATGCTTGGTATGGCTGTGCATCCATTTCTCCTCAGCCAGCAAGTATTTGACCCTGGTGGATCAAATGGAAGATTTGCTGAGTACGGCTGTGAGCTTCCATCGTAGCGGCCGGGGGCGTGAGGCCCTCGAAGTGCTGCAGAAGATTCGGGAGAATTTCCAGGCTGCCAAGAGGCTGGAGCCTGCTTCAGCGGATGCTTATGTGGCTTTTGCTCAAGCAATGTTGGCTTCAAATAACTTGAAAGAATCCATTGAGGCCTGGGAATCCGCTTTGGAACGGATGAACGAAGACAAGGATCCCTCCATGTTTGCTTGGGCCAAGGGGCGTTTGCGCTGGGCACGCTATGGTGTGGTGTCCATGAAGAGGGATGCTCTTTACGCAAATGGCCAAGGAGATCTGGTGGAATCAAAAAAATTGGTGGAGGAGCAACTGCAGATTTACCCGGGATTCCCCAGTCGTCACTGGTTGATGGTTTCATTTGTTGTTTAGTTTTCATCCAGCCTGAATGGGCTGAGGATGAGAATATGGATGATGATGATGATGATGATGATGATGATGGTGATGGTGATGGTGATGGTGATGGTGATGGTGATGGTGATGGTGGTGATGCTGATGATGATGATGATGATGATGAGTAGTAAGAGTAGGAGCAGGAGCAGGAGCAGGAGTAGGAGTAGGAGGAGGAGGAGGAGGAGTAGGAGTAGTAGTAGTAGTGGTAGTGGTAGTGGTAGTGGTAGTGGTAGTGGTAGTGGTAGTGGTGGTGGTGGTGGTGGTGGTGGTGGTCGTGGTAGTGGTAGTGGTAGTGGTAGTGGTAGTAGTAGTAGTAGTATTTTTTAAATGATTGTTGTTATTAATTGTCTTATTATTGCTAATTAAGTATCATTATTCCAAGTGACCAATGGCAAACCCACAAATCAACATCAATTAATTACAGTATATTACAGTACATGATGTTCATCCCTGCTTTTCCAATCGTCCAACCAGGTGGTTTCATGTTGTTTATATTCACCATCTCCCCAGTAACGTAAGCCTTGAACATTGCCCATGAACGTAGGGAAAAGTTCTCTTCCAACCCGCAACAATGAGTTGGGGTTTACTGGAGACGGTTATGTGTTACCAAATATATAATTATATGCCTAGGCTCGTCACATACCTCAAAGTAAATGCAAAAGTACAAGTAAAAAATATGGGGTAAAACGGTGCAACACAATGTTTTTGCTTGCAGAGTCTAGGAACATATATATATATATATATGTATAATAATATACTTTTCAAATCCAAAACCGAAATTGTTCTAGGGTTTGCTCCAATACCCGAGGTTTACACACAAAACCCCAGATTTTCCAAAACCTCGTATTTTTTGAAGTTTGATTGTTTTTAGAATTCCATGCTGGATCAAGTCCCGCATGCTGATGCGGTTTATTTCCCTGGCAAAGCTCACCGTTTTTGCATGTCAGACACAGTTGACCATGAATTGGCTGGCACAACCACGCTTGCTACCCCATCCAATTTCCAAAAGGTGATGTCTTTTCTGCCGATGCCCCTTCACAAATCACGTTCAACCCATTGAAAATTCAGTAAAATCTCAACCATCTAAACCCGTACAAAACGTACGGGTTAGGACGGGTTTAGTACGAGTTCAGTACGGGTTTGAAAAACCCGAGGTTTTTGCAAAGACCTAAGGTTTTCCTAGCATACTACGGGTTAGTTCGGGTTTACTACGGGTACAGTACGGGTTGAGTATCTCTGATATCTGTTGCAAATTTTGGGGTCCCGCTGAGGTTTACACGACTTGGCGACCATCCAAGTAATGCTGTCGGAATTTCTGGAGGACCAGGAGCAGGCGGCGGTGGAGAGTTTCAGGTCGTCGCAGATCAGCGCGTGGAAGTCGTGGATGGCGGGACTGCTGCAGCGAAATAGGCACTGCGTGGGCCGTGTTTTTTTTAATCATGGGACTCACGTAGGTATGCAGTAGCTCAAGAGTATCCATTTATTGACAAGATGGGTAGTTTTTTGTTACCATGATGAAAAAAAATGATTCTTGAACTTCCTTGTAATACCAAGAGATGGTGGTGGTTCCCCATGAACATCACCCATTCGAGGATTCAAGGTGGCGCTGGCGACTCACCAAAGATCTCGAAAAGTGTGGGTGGAGGGGCGAGATGATGGGGGTTTTAATCCAACCAAAACCGTGTGATTATACCCAAATTTATGGCTATAGCCGATTATTCTTTGCCAACAAAGAGTGGATTGACGTGGATGTTTTTTTCTTTTCATCTGAGCTCGGACGACCGATGACCAGGCAATTTTGGTGGGTCCTCTTGGTATATACACTGTACACCATGTTTGAGACAAATTTGGGTATCGGTATAGGTGAATATCCCCCAGACAGTCTGTCTGCTCATGTTCGTGAGATATTTGTTAAGGTATCTGCTTTCCCCTCCACAAATAATATGGGTGTGTCCAAAGACAACCCCTAAAAATGCAGTGGTTTACTATCACGTTCCCCATTCATGGAAATTGGTGTCTTGGGATATATACTTAATTTTTGGACAAAAAATTGAGGTTCCCAAAACCGACACATCCTTTCATTGATTTCCGCGGCAGTTCCATGCAGTAGCTCCAGCCACTGCGTCTTGGCCCAGCAACATCAGGTCAACCTCCTGCGAGAAGGGCCGGATCTTCTACGATTGGAGTGAGGCCAGTGGGCCCAGTGGGTCTACTTCGCTAGTCTCATTGAGCAACCTGACTGGCGGATCTCTGGCTGCGAATGGTGTCAGGTGTGTGGATGGGGTGAACCAGTGCCGAGAAGTGAGATTAGTAAGACTAGTAAGAGTCAGAAACAAGCAAAGCAAACGAGAAATCATGATGGTTGTTTCTTGGCTTTGTGACCTTTCATCCATTTTCATCCTTTGCCACTCCCCTTTCCAGTGATCTCAGGTTATGTGGCCACCTTTCATGACGTGGGCCTCAGTGGTGACGATGGCCTCATCGTGGACGAGGCCCGATGTCAGATCTTCCTGGGCTCCGCCGGGCTGGTGCTGAACCTGGCGCAGAATCTGCAGCTGTTGGAGACCTGGGGCGATCCGAGCAGCCCGTGGCGCAGTGGCTTCAAGTGGTTCGACTTGCAGGGGCCCAACGGACCCAACCATGGGGCATGGGAGAAGCCGATGAAGGTGAAGCAGGTGGGGGATGGTGGCTGGGAGCAAGTTTTGAAGTGTAGATCATATATAGATATACAGCATGATATATATATATATGCATAATACAGTATCCAATATGTATATATATAGTTATGTATACTTATGTATAGTAATTATATATATATTATAATAATATATATATACATGAAAGAAGCACATTTACAGTCAGAATGTACTATTTAGAACATGCATGCATTATTATATGGTTTGGCATATGATTGATCTATCCACTAAATTATATATTGTCATTCTGGGCAACGAGAGGTAAGTCTTGGAGTAACAATAAATAAGATATATGAATGAGTGTAACGAGACAAGGGTCGTTTCCTGGTGTGGTCCAGCAGTTTAGTTGAACATCAATGAACTGTGGAATGCTACATGTCCAATTCTGATTAAACCACGGCCTTGCAACCTCAGGCAGCGAGCCTTATTCAGTTTGCTGGGACATCTCACTTTCATGTCTTGACGGAGGTCTTTGGCCGACTCCGGTTGTTGAGAGATGCCAGGGTGTTGCAGGACCCAGCAACACAATTGGTGATCCCGAAGCCTTCCGGCTTTCTGGCTGCGGGCTTGAAACTGTTGACTGCAGGCTTGGGGATAGCCGCAGATCGGATGATTCACTGGACTCGTGGCCCAAGTGATGTGCTACTGAGAGCAGAGAAATTATACTTTGCTGATTGGAAGGCAGGGGTTCAGGCTGGTATCAATGCTTTTTGAACCCTGGGATACTCATCAGAGGTTTGGCTGCACCTGAATCTGTTTCTTGGGTGTTTTCGAAATTTCTTCGAATCCTTTGGAATGTGGCCTGGAACTTTAAAACATTCCATTAAACAAACATAAAAAACAAAATCGTTGTCTCGGATTTCTTTGGAACTTGGAATGGCTCAGATCGAGGCAAGACTGGCTGAAGAATATCCCTGTGGATGAGAACTCTTATCCTCAATTTGTTTTAAACTATATATTTATGTAAATATTATAAATATATGTATGTCCTGTAAGTCCTGTACTTTGAAAATCAAGGCAAAATACTTGGTTTCTTTAAGAAATATACACAAAAACCAAAAAATGTGCGTTTGCCTTTTTTTGTCAATGCCTTGAAGCCTCCACAGGTGCCCATTGCCTTGGGACAGGATGGTGGACACTGCCCAACGCCTCCATTGCTTCTGCAATCTGTCAGGGATGCCCTAGCCGCGGGCCTAGCTGCGAAGCCAGGGCGGCGGGCCTTCGTTTTCATCAAGCGGAAGAGGGGCGACATGCGCAGCATTTTGCAGGGTGAAAGCGAGTTGGAGAAGGAACTGCGTGGCTGGGCACTGAGCCAGACTGGATCCAGTTGATTAATATAGATATCACATGATATCACACATTTCACTTTCCGAGAAGGTTCAACATCAACACCAATGAAAATGCAGTTACAGTAAACATCAATCACCCTAAGCCTGAAACCATCATGATTTTTCACGTTGAAGCCATCGTTCTACAGGCGCCCTGGCCTCGGCCGCAGCGCTGGACTTCGTGGCCTTCAGCGGTGAACTGAAGCTGAAGCCCACGGCGCGCCTCTTCGCCCGTGCCGTGGTGGTGCTGGGCGTCCATGGCGGCGCCTTGGCGAACATCATCTTCTGCAAGGAGGATGTGCCATGGCCGTGAAAAACCCAGCAACATTTGGCTTGGTACATGGCTGTTTAGATGGGTTTATATATATATGTAAGTTTATATAGGGCTGTTTTTTTTGAATTGGTTTTGAACCTTGAGTTATATTATAGATGATTAATTATAGGATATTATGAGATTAAAAAATAATCTCATTGTTTATGTTCCTCTCGCTTTACTTAAAGTAGCAAAAGGTGAGACGTCAAGGGTATAGGACAGACTTTCAATATCTTTTTGCACTCACCAAGATCACTTCACTCTTGACATTTTCCCTACACTTGAGTCTCCCCACTTTTCAAAAATTCCAAGCAGTCTTTCTAGCTTCATCTATAGTTTCTACCGAGTCTTTAAAATCGTCCAGATGAGGTGCAGATCTTTGAGCTCGGCTTCCGGTCGCCCTTTGCTGGGCATTACCGTTACCTGGCCGATGCCCTGAAGCTACGCCTGACCCTGCTACCGTTGGCGCCAGATGCGCGTGGCATGGCCAGTCAGGAGGTGAAGCTGGCGGATTTTCAGGGCGCCCTGCAGCAGATTACCAGGGCAGTGTCCGGTAAGGAGGAGCTGTAAAGGGAGGATTCAGTGGATGGATGATGAAATCTTGAAACCTTTCCAGATCAGCTTGAAGTGGATGCGGAAGTTTGGAGTTCGCATTTTGGGATCCCTGCGGACTGCGCGACTGCGAGGGAAAGGGAAAGAGCCTGTCCTGCTTGGAATGCTGGGAAAGTTGATGCCGAGTCGTTGCACGTTTAGACTGGATTGGCTCGACAACATTTTCACGTAGCATGGTGTTATTATATGCTTGGATGCCATACAGCAGCTGGCTTCAGCGCCTGTTTGGTCATGGTCTTCGCATGTCAACAAGGAAAACCCAGGTTCAGCGCAGTGCCAGCTTTGACGCTGAATGTCGACAAGTTCACTGCAACGCGCCAACGCATCGGTGCGTAGCTACTGCGTTACAGACCTTCGAAAGAGCTTGCTTCGTCATCAATGTGCTAACTTCGCAAAGAGAGGAGCCGGCAAGTTCTGCCACGCGAGGCCATCAGGTGCCCTGCAGCCAAAAGTGCAGCCAGGTCTCCATGCCGGTGCTGATGTCCATTTCAATCAATCCATGAAGCTGTCTATGGAAGCTTTCCTCATTCTGATACTAACCAGCTGAAGCACAGATGTATACAGATGTCATGAAAAGCTCTGAGCAGTCATTGTTACTCATCTCCGCATGTATCGCAGCTGTGGTCCTTGAAGATTACAGATTCTGAAAGCCTTGCTTGATCTTGAGAGCTCTATGGCATGGCTCCAGCGGTATTTTGTGCACGTGCCAAAGTTAAATCCTGCCCTTTCATGATCAACAAACTGCAACAAATCCTGGTATACACATGGTTTTTGCTATGGTTTGCATTCATTTGTTGATTTTGGGGTCCCATAGTATATATAGACTATAAAGTGATACATGGGGCTGTTGGGATTCAAAAGACAGAGCCTTCAAGATGTGCGCAGCTCATTGTCCGTTGCAATGCGACAAAGACGGAGGAGAGGTGTTTTTGTTGACAGCCATGGATGGCCGGACAGCCATGGATAACCTATGAGAGCCTCTCCGGACCCAGGAATAGTACCCAGATTTCCAGATAATGTCAAGCCTGGATTAATAACCCCCTAGGCTGTTTAATTGGGAGGGTACCATTTAGGTATCAGATTATGACTATTGGAGGAGTACCCCCCTAATTAATAAACCATGGTTTATTAATCCGGGGTTGACATTAATGAAGAATGATGAGAAGAAATGATGAGAATTTGCAATCAATGTGTGACACATGTTTTGGTAGCCACTGACATCATGGGTCGGGGCCGCTTCCCATTTGTCCCTCGAACAACAACTGTCGTGGCTGGAGATGCAGATCAGAGATTCAGATATTCTAACCACCAAAAGGTACTTACATGTGACCACTAAGTTAGATACAACCTCAAATTTCTATCAACTTCCGGTTCCACAACTAGTGGATACACGTGGATTATACGGTTTCACCAAAACTGCAATGGTACCCATAGATTGTAGTTCCTTGCTGCTACTAATCAAAACATCTATCCAGCTGGAACACAGATGAGCTGCAACGCTTTTCTGAGAAGGATTCCGTTGACACGAAAACTTGCGATTGAACCTCTCTATTCTGGATATGCAAGTTTACCATTCAGACCGTACAATTTTCCCAACAACGCCAATCTCGAAACATGGGATTGTCCAAAATTTTGGGGAACTTGTTCCATCTTGTTCCGACATATGGCTCAGGTGATTAATCATTGACAATTTTCAAATGTGACTGCGTGTTTGATCTGTTTGCTGCCCGTAGGAGCTGCTGTTGCACCTCGGCCTGTAAGGCTGGTCTTAGAGATGGAACAGGTGTGGACCTGAAAATGGTGGATAAACCCTCAAAAAACGCCAATGATATGGTAAGCATGATTATAAACCATGGGATTTTGATGGATTTTGGGAGTACTGAACGCTATTTGCAGACAAAGCCAAATGGGAGTTGCTTTCAGAAATTGATTCAGGCCATTTGTCCAATTTTTGCTGTGGGCCTAGGCTCTCTTGGGGGTTTGTGGTTCCTATGGGCCACTGGGCTGCACACCAACTGCCGGGCACTGGGAATCACCTCAACACTGGCCGGACCTGACCACAGAATGCCGTTCATGGAATGTCTATTCATAGATGTCAGGTAGAATGCCAGACAAAGTGCCAGACAGAATGCCGAAGTGTCAGCTTAAATGTTAGAATACAGTATTATCTCAGATAGAAATAATTCCATATAAAATGTCGGATAGAATGCCCAATAAAATAAACGCAAGATGGAATGTCAGAATATACGGCAGATAGAATGTTAGATTAAAATGTTGGATAGTGTGCCTGAATATGTCCGAATAAAAAATCAGATAGAATCTAATATGTGTCAGATAACGTGTCAGAACTCATGTCAGAATACAGTATATGCTACGGTGGGGACCACTTGATGTTTTTTGTTTTTTCGAACATACCTACCATTGTTTAACATGTTTGTTTCCCAAATTATACAGTATGCAGGTATCCCAAAAATTTAGATATTGGTCATTTTTCTATAGCGTATGTTGTATTTTATTTTTCCCCCACCTGCCAGGTGAGGGTAGATTTTATCAGAGTTACTTGCTCCTCCTCGCCTCTCCTCCTCCTCCTCATCCCCTCCCAACACCGAGCTCCAGATTTCAGTGGGCACTGCTGGACCTCAACGGCGAGCTCCACATCGCAGTGGGCACTCTACGACTCTGCAAGATCGGGACGCTGATGGAGTGGGCGTGGACTCGGTGCCACATCGCGAGCTCAGGAGGTGTGGAGTGGCCTTGGACCCAAACACATGCCAGAGAGATTGCCAGATAGAATGCCAGATAAAAACCAGAATGAATGCTTGAAAAGATGCCAGATAGAATGTGTCAGAATAAATGCCAGAAAGAATGAGAGATAGGATGTCAGAGTATATGCCAGAAAGAAAGGCAGAAGATATGCCAGATAGGATGCCAGAAAAACTGTCATAAGATATGCCAGAAAGAATGTCAGAATATCTGTATGTCAGACAGAACGCCCGGTCAAAAAGACTGTCAGAAGATTTGCCAGAGAATGCCAGAAAAAACTGTCAGAAGAAACGCCAGATAGAATGCCAGAAAGAATGTCCGGATATATGTCAGACAGAGCGCCAGAAAAAAAAGAAACTGTCAGAAGATATGCCAGAAAGAATGCCAGAAGATTTGCCAGACAGATACGCCAGAAAGAATGTCAGAAGATATGCCAGACAGATACGCCTAGAAAGAATGTCAGAAGAAATGCAAGATATGCCAGACAGAACGTCAAAAGATCTGCCAGCTAGAATGCCAGGAAGAATGTCAGAAGATATGCCAGACAGAATGCCAGAAAAACTGTCGCGAGATATGCCAGACAGATATGCCAGAAAGAATGTCAGAATATATGTCAGATAGAATGCCAGAAAGAATGTCAGAAGATATGCCAGATCTATAGAATGCCAGAAAGTATGTCAGAAGATATGACAGATGGAATGCCCGAAAAAAAAACTGTCAGAAGATATGGCAGGTATAGAATGCCAGAAAGAATGCCAGATAGGATGTCAGACTTTTGCCAGGAAGAATGTCAGAAGATAGGTCAGATAGAATGCCACAAAAACTGTCATAAGATATGCCAGAAAGAATGTCAGAAGAGCCAGATAGAATGCCAGAAAGGACCGCAGAAGATATGCCAGATAGAATGCCAGAAAGGACTTCAGAAGATATGCCAGATAGAATGCTAGAAGGAATGCCAGAAGATATGCGAGATAGAATGCCAGAAAGAATGTCAGAAGATATGCCAGACAGATATGGCAGAAAGAATGTCAGAAGATATGCCAGATAGAACTGCGAGCTCCAGATCTCAGTGGGCACTGCGCGACTTCAACTGGGAGCTCCAGATCTGAGTGGGCAATGCCGGACCTCAACCAGGAGGAGGAGGAAGAGGAGCCTCGGTCACTAGATTTTTGCAGAGTTGTCCTCTACTCCTCTTCCCTGCCAGAAAGATGTGCCAGAAAGAATCTCAGAATATATATATATATATTTATTTATATTTATATGTCAGAACCATGGCAGACAGGTACGGTATGACAGTATATTTGTGATGGTGGGGACCACTCGAAGTAAAGCATTTTTCCCAGAATGGATGAGGTGAAATTTTGCGGGGACCCAGGCACAATCTTTGATGGTTTTAGAAACATGGTGTCCCTCAAGCCATCCATTGATTGTTGTTGATATATTTTGGGTGTCTATGTTTGTTGATCAAATTTCGGTCAGATGATAGAGTGGGACCTTGCTTGAACGGGCCAGGGGGCATCCAGCGGCAATCCTTCTTGCCAAGCAAGCCAGGTGGTTCTGTCCAGGGTGATACAGTATCCAACATGCTGTTCAGGGCAAGGTGCTGTCCAGGTTGCTGTCCAGGGTGCGGCAGGGAGTGTTGGTAAGGTGTTGTGCAGGGTGCTGTCCAGGTTTGGGGGAATATTTTGCAAGAGTATGCCGTTGCGAGCGTGCAATGGCAGAAAAGACACGTCACTGAAACCTTTGCTATTTGAATAAGTAAGTCTATGCCCGTGCAATATCTATATGGTTTTCCTCTTTTGAGCTTGCGCAACTTTGGAACAGACCTGGCTCAAAGTTCCTCGAAGAAGCTCGTCATTTATGTGAAACATGGCGAAACCAGGTTCGCAGTAGCAATGAGTATATATATATTTATTTATTTATATATTTGCTGATATCTTGGTGGTTTTGTGACATGTTCACCGTTTGGCGCCAAGATTTATTAAGCCTGATATAGCGGGAGAGCGGGAGCGCCCTTCGCTGCCATGAGCTCTTCGACTGCGACTCCTCTGGCCCAGTATGCCTCGTCGTTGCGGTTATCCGGAACTGGTGCTTCTTTGGGCCTTGAGAGGACATGTTGACCAAGTGCTACACGTGAGATATTTCACATGTCTACAAGAGTCCATGTGCGTGTATATGTCAAAAGATGTATAGCTTTCAATTATTTCCAGGGTCCTCTTGTTTGACGTGGGCGTCTAAAGTTTGTTTGGATCCGTTATGGCAGGCCAATACCACTGGTTTCAATGTCCGACTGCTTCTCGCCTAGTGTTCAGAAGATATATAGGATGCCACTTTCTCAAAATTGGCCCAACAATGTCCCATGTCAGTCCTACTGTATGTCAAAGCTGTAGAACTCCAGAACCTGTTTAAAGCTGTTTTTTTTTCCAACTATGTTGCCGTTTGGGTTGGGTTATCCTCCATGTGGGTCGACACAGGGACAGCATGTATGGTAGAAATCAGGGGATGGGCCTTCTCCTCATTGTAGCGAAATGGTAGTGAAGTCCGTGGGCTGAAGGGTACGGTGCAGGATCTTCCCCATGTTCACCGTGCCTGTCTGGATCTTCCTCAAAATGACGGAACTTCAACGGCATGAAGAACTCCTAGCCCCTGAGCCTGAATCTGGTCCAATTTGGGCCATTGGTTGTGGGGATTATTTAATGGACGGCATTTATTTTTGGTTTTTCTTCGCGGCAAGTTTTTTGATTTTGTGGGGGGTTCCTGGTTCTATGCTTTCCTGCTTGTCTGCTTTTCTGCTGTTC